CCCCAAAACCCCAAAACCCCAAAACCCCTTATTCTGAACCAGAGATTGCCGAATTAATAATTATCAATTTTAATAATGGCCAGAGAATACGCTCAGGAAATATTAAAGAAAAGCATCCCAAGTATTCCAATAAATACTGAATCGGAGTACTTCTTACTAGCTACTTGGTTTTGTATTGGTAAGGCCCGGTGAATTCTATTGATAGCTGTGAAATCTCTCTAAATTTATTCTAATAATCTCTAGGATCAGCATTTTCGATGCATCAGATGTTCAAAAACGATGGTACTCTGAAGGAATCACGCTATAGATGCTGTTTTACTAAAGAATATCAGGAGAGAGCTTCCGTACCTGAAGCCTTTGAGCCAGTCTAAATCTTCTAAAGCAAAAATGTAGGATTATTGCTGAAATTATAGGAAAAATTTGTATAAGAAGGAAGTAGTTAAGGAGATCTACAAAGGTAAATCTTGACGTGAGCTTTAGTCACCAACTTTGAGATCAAGAAATATCTGTTCAACAGAAAATCCCAACTAAGACAACAAAGGTTGGATGTCCTTAAGAAGAAGGGAATGAATGAGTATATCAATGAAATTAAATCCCAGTTTGAAATCCAGGCACAGATTGAGAAGAGGATTTTCTGTCAAATCTTTTGTAAGCTTACTTATCTGACCTTTCTAGCTTGACTTGACCAAACCCCAGGACTGTTCCTCAAGAGATTGAATAAGGTTAAACATGAACCCTGGTTTATGGATGGGATTGATAATGACCATATTCAAGCACAGTTGATTCAACAGAAGATTAAAAACAATCCACTGGAAATAACTGATGAAAAACTGCACGAGATGAGCGAATGGAGTGAAGAGATGGAAGTCAGGATGGTCAAACAAATCATCAGAAAAACTGCCGATCAGGATGATCTAGACCAATTCCAGTAAAAAATGCTTTAAACACTTTAGAAACCAGGTAGAAATTACTAATATCTGCAGAAGGGATGACTTCTTCCAAACCTTTGAACAAGATGAAGATGAAGTCAAGGCTTTTGTCCAGATGAAAGAATTTTCATAAGGATTTCAATAATCAGAAAAGTAATAGGGGTTTTGGGGTTTTGGGGTTTTGGGGTTTTGGGG